CGCCTCCGGAGCCGTCGAGGATATAATTAATATAATTAACCCCCTGCACGAAGCTCTGCGTCCTCCCTATCGCACTGACCATGGCGCAACCTGAGAACATCCTCCCGCGTCGCGGAACATCTGCACTTAGCTCTGCTCCTCACATATGGTTTATATATCTCTCAAAATATTCCTGACAATTGTGGTTGTCCATCACTGTCAACACTTTCCTCTGCTTCAATCCTGACTACAGGCCTCATGCAACTCTGCAACACACGGCCAAGAAATACTTCTCCACGTGGTGAACCAGAAACATCTCTAACCTACGGGCCAAAACTTTCCTTCATTTCCCTGGCTCTTTTTTCCTCCAGCCAGTTGAACAAGGCTGTTTCAAGGAGGCCATTAGGACATTTTCTTCCCTGCTACTGATATGGAATGGGCTCTTCTCTCCCTTTCTCTTGCCTCTAAGGATCTTCCTCTTTCTTTTCTCTCTTTTTTTCCTTCAAGGTTAGACTCCGGACAGCCTTTAGCCGACCTGCAAGGAAGGTTTTTCCTAGGATGACCTCCAGAATGCCGACGGAGGACACGGGGTCAGATTAAACAGCCAGCTCCTTTCAAGGGAATATTTTTGCTGCTCTTCAACAGCAGTTCAAAGCCTGTTCCAACAATAAACCTCCACCATCCTCCAAAGCCAAGGCAGATGCCTGTGACCGACTTCCTCAGCGAGGTGATGGTCCGCACACCAAAGAGCCCAAAGCTGTTGTTTTAATGGATTTTCAATTCTGTTGTCGGGTCAGTAATCCTTTTTTTCTCCCCAGTGTCACTCAGAGACTTCAAAAGCCCCAGCTGGGCTTGAAGAGCCGGGGTTTATTTTATCTAGGAGGACATCACATGGCACAGATCCTTCTAAGCAGATCAATTTATCTGCTGTTGACAGCAAGTCCTCGTCAGCGGTGCCGCGCAGTGCAGGAGGTTACGGAGCGTGCACCAACACACAATCCCACAAACAGCCTGAAACGGTTTATCTGCCTTTATCTAAGTTCCTGAAGGCTTCATAATCCATCAAAACTTGCTGCTTGCTACATGCAGGCTTGGAAAGTGCTCTCATGTAATTAAAAGAGAATCGCTGCTTACGAAAAAGAATGACAAACCAGAATGTGGAACTTAAAAAAGAAAAAAAGAGAAAGACAGAGAGATCAAGCCAAAAAAATCCTGTATTTTCAATAGAGTGACCCTTTGCCATAGGAAATGAAGGTCAATCAGGATTTAATCCTGTGCTTCATTTTAGTGACTTAATTCAGGCATGGACATCAGCACGACCTGGAAGATGAGCGCTTTTGTGAGCTGAGAGAAATCAAATAATTCCTAGTTCCATGTTCTTCTTGGCACCAGAGAACAAAGGACATTATCTGCACTGTTCTGCTAACGGAGGCAGGGGACGAGCCACGAGCTCAGCTCTCCCGGGATCCCAACCAGGCTACGGGCAGAGCTGGCAACACCACCCAGGGCTCCGAGTGCTGAATCAAGCCCTGCTGCTCCTCTGACTCATCCCAGGCACCGTTTGCTAAATGGGATGAAGCTTTTCCAAAGTTCTGCATGCTGTGTCAGCTCTTCCAGGAAAATTAATGATTCCAAGAATCCTGAGGTCAAGTAATCAGCCTTGGCATTGATCCTTCCTTGAAGGCCTCATGCTTGGAAGCCACTGAAAGTTATTTCTGGAATTAGTCAACATTTACAGTAGTCAGAACTTACTGCAAGATGAACAATCCCACTAGCAATCCATATTCCTGCTCCTAGAACAAGAGCTGGTGCATCCTGTGAACACATTTGTTATGTTCTGACAGCAAAATACACAACCCATTTTGCAAACATTTTGGCTAGAGGATGGACTGCTCTCTGCAAACCTTTCCTGAATGGGTCTCCAGCCAAGCTATCATGACCTACTTTCATTTTACTTTTCACTAAGGGGATTATTCCTTGCTCTTTTCTCTGTTGACTGGAGATGTAAGACGTGTGTAATGTACACGCGGGGTTCGACACCCTGTTGGAAAAAGCCACAGCCCTTAGCTTTGCTCAGTGGGAAGCCACAGCTAAAACCATTGTGAAATACGTAACCAACAGGGTTACTTACTCAAGGGAAAAGAAAAGTCTGGATAGACCAAGTATTTGAAGCAGAGACAGGACACTTTACCAGCCTTTCTGCTGGTCTGCCATGTTTAACATTTACAGGGACTACGATGACTAATGTGCTCTGAATGAAAGCAGAGCTGGCACTGTGCTCCTCTCAAGAAGTCTGCGTGGAAGAGGAGACCGTTCCGCAAGCCCTCACGTCTACTTACACAGATATCTCTTGCTCTCTGCCTTGCCACCTGGATGCAGGGGAAAGCAGATAGGGCACGACAGTATCTGGCACAAAAAGCCAAGCAAAACAAGGCCTGGCAATAGTTTAGAGCAAAGCCTTTGCTCGATATTTTCCTCCTCCAAAGCGGGAGCCAGCAAACAGGGAAGCGGCAACTGCTCACATCGTGGGAGGAGCGACTCCTGGCATTGCAACGCCGTGTAACGGCACCTTCCCACCAGCACCACGCGGGGCAAAACGTCAGAAATACAATAAAAGGCGAGCTGTAAATCTCACCTACACCAAGCAAAGCTGCTATGCGCAACCCGCGCTTGTCCCAGGAGGGAAAGGTTTGTGCCCTGCTCAGAGGGCTGCAGTTTTTGTCAAGTTTTCCGTAAAGCGTTGGGGGGCACCTCAAGGCAGTAACAACGTTCAAAGCACCCGCTCCTTTCAGCACCAAACACTGGTCACTTAGCAATTTTGTTTTCACTATTCAGGAAAAACAACAATAGTTGTGGTAGCTGTGGCATATCCTAACCTGCCTACTGTTGCAATGATAGAGCGCGACAACCAGAAGAGATAAACTCTGTGAGTAGATAGGGAGGGCACTTGGTGTAATGGAAATCTTGCTTTACAGAAAGGGCTTTCCTAGGGTAATAAAGCTTGTTCCGGAAGGCTTTTCCTTATATGCTTCCTGTGAGCAATTGAACGCGCGTGTTTTCCAGGGCACAAAACGCTGTGAAACAGGAGCCCTTCCAAGGGCTCCTCTGAAATGCAACTTGTCC